AACACAGTAATCTTACATTCCTGCTAAACTAACCAAACACAAAATACAACATTTCTAGTAATCTTATTCTCTGATAATATTTTATTTCGACTGTTAATCTTACATTCAGTTAATCGAACGCACCCATACTATTTTCATTTCTTTTAATATAAATTATACAGAAAACTCTCTCGAGTGTGACTCAGTGGCCAACCGTAGTCGTTGATGATCTTTCTCTGTTTACATTTTCATTCCGAACATTTTGTTGTTGTTTTTGCATGACAAATGGATACACATATTTGACCATATTATATATATATATATTTTTGGACATGTCGTTAATCAAAATATCAAATCGGTTCTGGCTTATCTGGATATGTATGAACCAAAGGGTTCAAGGAGTACAGATTTTTGCCTTCAAGAAATTCAGAGCATGTGTGATCAACATAATTGTTGTAAGTACAGATTTTTTAATGATTTGTAGTGATTACGAAACAATACGTGTTCAAATTTTTTCTTAGTCGTTAACGACATAAATATTATAGTCACGAACGTAGTTGTTTAAATCCAAAAATTTTAGAAATAATAACTATTTTTTCATCTTGATAGATTCTTATTTATATTTTTCTAATTGTAATTAAAATATTTTAATAAGACTGTAAAATAAAAATCATTTAAAATTTTACATGGGGATACAATATGAACAAAGTGGCATATAATTGATGGTTTAGGGTATGTATTATATTTACAATAGATGGAAGAGGAGTTGTGTAGTAGGAGATGTGGCATATAATTGAAGGTTTTAGTAACAAATATAATATTATAAAGGGTAAATTAAGCACTTAGTACCTAAATTATCATATTTAATTTGTTTTAGTACTTAAACTTTTAATTTTTTTTCAAATCATACCGAAAGTTTAGTTTTTGTTTCATTTTAACATCTTTATTCAAAATTTAACATTGAGTCTTGGGGAAGTTGAGAGTTTAGATATTAAAATAGATCAAAACTGATAGTTTAATTACTAATGCGTAGTTTACCTGTTATAAAACCAAAGACAAAAATTGGGAAAAGATCAATTCCTTGAGGACACCAAAGGTGAAAAGTTGAGAAGGCACTGGAGATTGCAGAAAAACACAAAGTCAAAATGTAGAACACTTGCTGCTAGTCAACATCTATGGGTATTGAATATGGTTTTATGGAAGTTATATTATCAGGTTTTGCTTTCTTCTTTATGCTTTTATATAAACTTTCACTTTTCTAGCCCGACTCTCTCAGTTATGTAGCTCACCCAATTTGTCAATTCCATTTTGAAAACGATAATGCAAGTCACAAATAATGAAAAAGTAACGATAAACAATTCATCTTAAACAAGATATATATTTACATAAAAAAAATGTACCAAATAGCCCAAATTGCTACGGCCAAAACTTTACATTGGGTCATTGAGAAAGCATTAAAGAGATTAGATAACCATTGCTGCTCAACAGGTACAATCGAAAGATCCAACTGAAGTTCAGAGAAAACCTGTTTGGAATAAGGGCAGCTCTGAGCGATGTGAGCAACTGTCTCAGGCTCGGTTTCACACAGCTTGCATACGGTAGAAATGTTCATACGACGATTAAAAAGATTAACCGCTGTGGGGATGAAGTTCTTACAGAAGCGCCAACAGGCAATCTTCACCTTAGGTGGATTGTTGTCGAGTGTTGACTTCATAACTCTTCTGAAGTGTTCTGACGGCCGACCTCAACCTGTTGGGATTAAAAATGACATATCGCCTCTATTATTATTGATTCTCTTATGACAAATAAATAAATATATAAATTAAGGTATTTTTATTTTTTTAATCAATAAATTATATTTTATATATTTAAAAATCTCTCTCTCTCTCCCCTTCTCTCTTCCTATAAATAGCCAAGCAAAACCCAAAACCATTTGTTCATCTGCCCCCCTCTATACAAATCTATTCCAAACTAAAAAACCATCCATTTTCATCACCGAAATTTTCAAAAATAACTGACAGAGAAACCAGTGAAGGAGAAAAAACAATGGTGATATTATCAAACCAACATTGAACAGTTCTCTTATATCAGAAACAGGCAGCCATCTGCCGCATTGTTCCCTCCTCTTATCCCCGTCGTGGACCTCTCGAAACCTGATTCCAAACACCAGATAATCAAGGCCTGCGAAGAATTTGGATTCTTCAAGGTGATCAACCACGGGGTTCCCATGGAACTCATTTCCAGGCTGGAATCTGAGGCCACCGAGTTCTTCTCTTTACCTCTTTGCGAGAAAGAGAAGACAGGGCAGCCCAAACCTTATGGATACGGCAATAAGAGGATCGGTTCCAATGGTGATGTTGGTTGGGTCGAATATCTCCTCCTCACCGCCAACCAAGACCCAAACCTCGTTACTGAAAACCCAGAAAGTTTCAGGTACTGTTCTTGTCTTACAGGAGACGGGATATCTGTTTATGTTTTTTTTGTTTTTTTAACAGCTTTTGACACAGTGTTGTGCGTTGTTTATTCTCTCAGGGTTGCTTTGAATATTATATGGCGGCGGTGAAGAAAATGGCGTGCGAGATACTTGAAATGGTGGCCGATGGGCTAAAGATTCAACCGAGGGATGCTTTGAGTAAGCTGATGATGGATGAGCAGAGTGACTCTGTTTTCAGGCTTAACCATTACCCTCCATGCCCGGATGTTCTTCAATCTTTGAACGGGGATGTGATTGGATTCGGCGAACACACTGACCCACAAATCATCTCGGTTCTAAGATCCAACAACACTTCCGGCCTTCAAATCTCTCTTAGGGACGGCTCTTGGATTTCAGTCCCACCTGACCACTACTCATTCTTCGTCAATGTTGGTGATTCATTACAGGTAAAAAAAGAAAGACCCTTTTCTTTTCCTCCAAACACATGAAAAACAAGTCTAATTCATCCGAAACGTTTCAGGTAATGACGAATGGATGGTTCAAAAGTGTGAAGCACAGGGTGATGGCGAACAGCGTGAAATCAAGGCTGTCGATGATATATTTCTGTGGACCACCATTGAGCGAGAAGATAGCACCGTTGCCATGTTTGATGAGGGGAGATCAACAAAGCTTGTACAAAGAATTTACATGGTTCGAGTACAAAAGATTTGCTTACACTTCTAGGTTGGCCGACAACAGGCTCATGCACTTTGAGAAAATAGCTGCCTCATAATTTCATGTTTGACGTTAGAGTGTAACCGATCAATATCAAAATTTTGAAAACTATCTTAAAATTTAATTGAAATTTACATAAGAATTTACATAGAATCACATCATATTAGAATCCGATTAATAAATAATATATTATTTAAGGTAGTTGGATGTTATAAAAATACTGACAATCAATGTATATGGGCATCGAACACAAATTGATGAAGTATAGATAAACAAATAAACAAAGCATTGCACACATGAGGAATATTAGTTAACAGGGCAGCATCCAAAATTGGGAGGTCAAACTATACGATATTTTACTTAATATTTTCTTAACACCACCATAATTAAAGATTCTTGCTCCTACTTTCAACCACAGCTGGGTTGAAAAATAATAATATTTTAATACACCGCCAATTTCAACTTTCAATAATAAACGAGAAATTATCTGCATTACATAAAAACATGTCCCTTTGTCGACCCTATTCATTTTTTTCTTCGACTTAATATTAAAATAAATCTCTAAATTTTAATCTCTGATTCCTAAAATCCTAAATATTTACCCTTAAATTTGATCGTGATAATCGATCATTTCGCTAACTGTGGTAGCCTGCTGTTTGGCCGGCCTTTTAATTGGTTGTTTGGCCTTTGGTTATGGATGCAAAGAGCAGGGGGGGGAGAGAGAGGGAAAAAGGTGGTGGAAGTGGGGGAAGCGTTTTTCTTTAAATTTATTTTTTAATAATATTTTTACGAAAAAAATTTAAAATTTTGAGAATATAACATGGGTTACTTAACAGGATTTTATAACAATAGTTACAACCGAGTCATAACGTTTATAACGTTAGCTATCTGGATAAGTAAAAAAAAATAAGTTATGCACCTATTTAAGAATAAAAATATAGTTTAAACACTTATTTTCATATTAAATATTTTTCTTCGTATCCGACATTGGAGGATTAAAATATTCAAACTTTACGTGCAAATTATTCCTCGAGTTCCAAACTTAAGATGGGCTAAAGTCAAGGATTTATTAAGTGAAAACAATAGGGATTGTAAATAAATGCAAGATTAAAATAATATTCGGTGTTGACGTTATAACAGTTGTAGTGATAAAATTATTAGCCAAAGTATCTAATTGTCTATCACAGCACTGTAATTAAGTACATCATTTTAATAGTATATGGACTAATTTGACCTTATTTCTATAATAACAGATATACTGATATATATATATATATATATATGGCCTGGAAACCCTAACAGCTCTCTTCTTCATTTTTCTTTAAGATTTGCCTCACTTTCTATATAAATCAGATTATTTTTTTAATTTTGTTTAGTAGACGACGATGTCGATTTTGATGTTGATTTTCGATAAACAACCTTTTTAAATTTTTAATAAGAATAATTTTTATCTTTGTGACACTTTTTTTCTCCTTATGACACATTTTTCGTCTTCTTTCCTTTTGTTTGACTGTTATTTGTATTTTAAGTTTTTTCAAAGTTGAATTTGATGATGTCACGACTAGTCAAAAGTAATGCTTATTTGTAATCATGTTGATATTCTCTGTTATGGACCCTCATATTGAATTTTGATACATGACTTTGCATTCATGGATAATTTCTAGCCATACTCAACTTTAATTTACGATTCTCGTTAATCTTTCAACAATTTAATCCCTTTTATAATTTGTTTGTTGATTCAATCAAATTTATTTGTATCTACTTTTAGCTCAGGCCTTTTGGGTTAGTTTTTAACATTTTCTATGTATGATTTTTAAATGATCTAAACTGACTAGCTTCAATTTTGAATATGTTCACTTTTTTTTTTTATAAATCTCTTAGGGACGGCTCTTGGATTTCAGTCCCACCTGACCAGTACTCATTCTTCGTCAATGTTGGTGATTCATTACAGGTAAAAAAAGAAAGGCCCTTTTCTTTTCCTCCAAACACATGAAAAACAAGTCTAATTCATCCGAAATGTTTCAGGTAATGACGAATGGATGGTTCAAAAGTGTGAAGCCAGGGTGATGGCGAACAGCGTGAAATCAAGGCTGTCGATGATATATTTCTGTGGACCACCATTGAGCGAGAAGATAGCGCCGTTGCCATGTTTGATGAGGGGAGATCAACAAAGCTTGTACAAAGAATTTACATGGTTCGAGTACAAAAGATTTGCTTACACTTCTAGGTTGGCCGACAACAGGCTCATGCACTTTGAGAAAATAGCTGCCTCATAATTTCATGTTTGACGTTAGAGTGTAACCGATCAATGTCAAAATGTTGAAAACTATCTTTAAATAGATACGACTATGTATTCTTTCAGTCCAAAGTAAATGCATACTTAAAATTTAATTGAGATTTACATAGGTTTTTTTGTTACATTGACACGAGCATGCTAAATAGCATAATAGAGAGTGCATCACAATATGATTTTGTTTGCATGATACGAACATGCCAACAAATTAAATAAATCAGGCAACGTGGATTCAAAACATTATGAATAGGATCAAACAACCTACCTTTTGCATCTGCTACAATAATCTGTTTGCTTTACTAATATCTATCAATCAATCTATATATATATTTATGGAGTGATTATAGTGTGAAATAGGGAAAGGGTCATCACTACCTTGACCTTTCAACTAGTTGTATCCAGCTCGAGAGTCGGGATTCGGCTAGTTAACAGCCATGACCAGCATCGTTCATTCGAGAAAGACGATATCAGGAAACCAGTCCATAAAACTATTGCCATGAAATTCCGGGGCCACTTGTCATTGCTCTAGCTTCAGCCAGAGATACAGCCATTGCCAGCATCATCTGCTCCTCGTAACTTTCTGGAATAATGGGCCCAGGGCCAGGAGCATTCTGAAAGCTGTCCTAATTTCGTGTTCTTGAGGTGTTCCCGAGATCCCACCGGCATCTTGTGTCACTTCAGAGCTTGAATAACTAGTCCCTGCTACAGCCCCCTCTGATCCATGATCTAAACCCCATTTCCCTTCATCTCTTGCTGGTGTCGTCACACCATCACGACTGGACTATCTGCAGGAGGATAGTTCCCGGCAACTGGGTCCAATTCCGACCTGTTATAAACCTGCTGCTGCTCCGGGAAGCATATAGAATGACGGCATATTTCCATCATGGTTAAGAGAAGAAGACTCTCCACCTGTCTGCTGACGCTCAGCAAGGGCAGCTATTGCACACGCAAGTCCACCGGAAGGAGATGATGATGAAACCAGCAACTGTGGTCATGGCTGGTGAGATATAGCGGTCTCTGGAAACATAATGTGCCGAAGAAGCAGCATCTACATAGTTGGAATATCTGTGTCTGCTGTTCTCCTGTACCAGTTCAAATTTAAAGAATCAATCGAAGTTGGGCGTAATATAATCGAGTAGAAATGGAGATCCTGCACAAATACCAAGAGAGCATTAAAACATTTTAAGATTACAAGTTACAAGATTTCTCATTTATTGTTTTACTGTTTAACTAAATAACAAAGTTTGCCGTTCAGCAACTTAACCGAAACCAGTTCCCTAACCAAAAGCTATAGGCAAAACCCTTTGTTTAAACTAAGAATGAGTTCATACAGCAGCTAAATACTAAATTCTGCAATTAGTTTCGTACGTAATCTCATCTAATTTTAAAAGATATACCTGAATCGATTGCCAAACCGCTTCCATGATCATTATCTCCTCAAGGTCTATGTCAAACTCATCATCCCTGCAATTTAAGCATTTGATAGAACAAAGTCAAAGAAGATTCATTGGAACAAAGTCTAGCTAGCCAGGCTTAAGCCTGACACAGAGTGGTACATGACTAGTTGTGCTGTCAAACACAAAATTTTCTATCATCTTTTTCAATCAAAAGCAAATAACACTTTAACCAAAACGAAATGCAACAAAGAGACCTTCCAACCCGTTTTTTCCCCTTTTATTTGCCATAACACCTGGAATGTGTCATCATCTTTACACAATAGGAATTTTTGAGCATCTACTGAACATGCTTTTTTTCTTATCATTCAAAAGGAAAGAAAATAGAGGTTCACTCGCATATACCCTAATTATTAAATAACGAAATCTGCTTTTATATTTTCATCCATATCCTCTTCGAACATTGTCTATTCACAGGACCATTATCCATTAAATAACATGTTCTCGAGAAGGAATTTGTAGGTCAACTGATGTTGAAGTCACTTTCCATCTCCATCATCCTGTCTATAACAGTGACCATCATTACTTTAGGCACTCATCCATTATCTCATCTTTACTCGTATGCAACACATCTAACAAAATAATTTGTTCTGAAAAACACTTATGAATGGTGAAATATTTTTTCATTTTTCCTCAACCACGAGTTAAACAAGTGAAAGCTTTGGTGCTGAACTAGCATACTGACAAATCATCACAATGTAACTTTCAACTATAAAAGTAATCTCCAAATCCACTTTCAGATTACTCCTCCAGCCTACTATTACCAATGCGTTTCAACTCCAGAATAATATCAGAATCACAGCTGTGACTCGAATACCATTTTCATGAAACTCGTCTGAACAAATCTAGCATAAGCATACCTTTTACTCTCACTAACAAAACTCGAGTAAACACAAAGACCATCTTACAAATGAATTTAGAGATTTCAATATCAACAGAAAATCAACACTGATACGAACCGAAAACATGTAATTTGCAATATTCCCTTTTCCTCTTAACATATGAACAGTTGATCCTACACATGGATGCAAAGCTACCTATAACTTTGCCTACCTGTTAGCCTAGGGTGTGAGGTTGTCTAATCATAGAGGCAGCTGGTGAATCTTGAGATGAAATATCTCTTCCTCGCCAGAGGATCTATCTGCAAATAAAAAGAGGAAAGTAAGGAAAATGATCTCAAGACAGAACAATGTCAAAGCAAGTGAAGAACCAAATATAAGAAAATAGAATAACAATAAATTCAGACTCCAACTGAATTGTACTGAACATCTCCTGCTGCCACTGCGGTGCTTGAAGAACCCAATTCTTGTCTCTTGTTCATCCTCTCTTCGTTGTCCTGAAGTTCTTGTTGCCTCATTCTAATTTGTGCTTCTATGACACGTTGTTCTTCCTGTAAAATTTAAATAGATAAGGGAGTATCAAACTTATTTTTCTATCCGGTGAAAATCACATAGGAATTACACCCTTCTTTTATTCACATTGACAAGGAGGTGGGAACTTACAATTTGCTCAATCCCTTTTTCCTCTTTGTTTTCACACCTCGATACTCGACAGCATAGTTAGAGGTTTACAAAATGGACACCTCAAATTATCAAGGAATGCAAACATTGAAATACAAGTATACACACAACTAATCAATTTGAAAATTTCTAGTCAATAGCAGGAAGGATACTGCGTAGGACGGGTTGAATTAGGATTCTTCATCTGCAGAAAACACTCTGGTGCAAATAAGTTGTGTCAATATTTATAACTAGCTGTATTATTAATTCAGCATCATTCGAAAAATTCAGATGTAGTTACCTGTGCAAATGCTTTTCATGCAGCACCTTGATCTGTTGAGACTTGGATAACTCTAAAATGCAAAAGTAGAAAAAGAAAATCATATTCATGTAATCAGAAGGTATTACATTCAACCACAACCACTTTTAAAAGACAATTATAAAGAATTTCATTAGATAAAAGACAGGGAAAGAAGAGCACAGAGTAAGCGGCGACTGATAAAGCAAAAGGATTAAAGAGCAAGGAATTAGCAATCGCACAGTAAGCATGACGAGAAAGCGAATGAAATAAGCACAAACCAAGCAAATTGGGCATTCTTCAAGATTGGAAAAAGCATTCTTCATCACCAGGATAGCATGGCGCAAGCTTTGATTCAAGGATCAGCTTTCTTAGCTTCTTAATATCCACATCTTTATGAACATACAACCCTTGTGGGTGTATACTTCTCATCGACAGCTTGTCTCCGCCTTCCCAATTTATTACCCATTAAAAAATATCCCTAACAGTATTCACCGACCAAAATTACCACACATTTGATTTGGTTATCTGGTTTACTAAAAATCACCAAGCATTATGAACAAACAATCACGTAGAATCTAAACCGTAATTTGTAGCTTTACAACACAATCAAACACACACACACTATAGCAGAACACAAGTCTAATCCAAATTGATAATAGTTGATATAAAATCTGCCACATGAGTCCTGCTCCTGCAAATGCAACAACCCAAAAAAATCAAAATTAAATATATGTTACCAGTTAAACAATGCATCAAAAATGTAATTTACGAACCAAAAGTTGATTAGAAGAAAAACCCTAAGTTCTGAATTACTAAAAGAAATTAACTTACCAAGTCTCCAACTTTCACAGCTGAATTGGCCAGCGCAATCCTTCCCGAAACATGGCCATAACTATAATTAAACCGAAGAAAGGAAGACATCAACACTAAACGAAAAGGTAAAAACCGTTGCAAAAACAGATTAGTTTCACAAGAACTAACAACACAAAATCGAGCCAAAAGACAAAGCTTTTGAACAAAACAAAATCGAAGCAAATAAACAACCAGAAAACAAAACACTTTACTAAATTATGGGTAGTTTGAGAGATGAACAACAACACAAAAACCCGACCTTGAAACCTCGAAGGGAACTGCGGAAGCGAATTTGGGGACTTAGAAAGATTGAAAGAAAGAGAGAGACTCTGGTAACGAGATTGGAAACACAATCAGAACTTTCTCTCAGAAAGGAAAGAGATTTTCTTTCTTTTAATTTTTTTTAAATTGTAATTTTGTTTATGTTTTATTTATTTATTTATTTCTTAAATTGTTGGATTTCTATTGCAAATTATGAAATTCATGCATCTTCTATGTGATTTAATGGACCGTCGATTTCATTAAATAGTTCGATTGCTGAATAATTTGATATTAAATATAATAATTAATTATGCGGATGAATAATTTTTTATTTTTTCAATTTAATCGATCATAAAAAATTTATTTCAAAATCAAGGAAAGAAGGATATTTAAATTAATTGATATAAATCTATTAATAAAGAATAATTTCTAAATTAATAAATTTATTAAATAGTTTATTATAAAACATAGCATTAAAAATAATTATGATGTAGGGCTTTGCGTTCGTATCTGAGCAAATAATTAATATTTTATGATGTATTCTCAGTTTTTTGCCTGAACGGAAATAATAAATTTAAAATATTATTTAAGTTTTATTAGAATTTTA